GACACACAGGGCTGTATGTGCCCCCATGTTGTCCCACCGCTGTTCATATGCTTGCGAAGACATGCTTCTGGTATACACAAGTGTCTCCCTAAAATATATGACTTCAACTTTTGTGTCTCAGAGTTCTTTCATTCTCTGTAATGCCCTGCTCTGAGTTGGTAGGATAGGCGCTCTCATCCCTGTTTGGCAGATGAGGAAGCCGATGCTCAGAAGGGGGAAGTGACTTGCCCAAGGCCCATCAGATAGTAGGTGACAGAACTGAAGCAAGACACGGTGGTCCTGATTCTTTAGCCTGACCTGGGACTTAACCTCACAACCCTGAGATCCTAACCTGAGCTGAAATCCAGAGTCAGATGCCTGACTGAGCCATCCAACTGCCCCACGGTAGTCCCCATTCTAAATTCAGTTCTTCCTAGTGTATTTGCCTCTCACTCTTGGGAAATTTTTCCTTAGCCAGCCTCACCCCTTGGACAAATTAATACAACCCCCCACCCCCACCCCCCGGCCTTCCCAGGTTGCTGAAATGCCCTGTAGTGGGATGGACTTTGGAGTCAGAGACACTTAGCACAGCCTTATGACCTTGGGCATACAGCATGTCTCTTTTGGCTTGTGTGTCTCATCAGCAAAATAAGGGCGATAATATCAGGAGTTTGGGTGGAAAAGTCAGGTGCTTAAGGTCTGATATGTCATCAGGACACACTGGTTGGCTGGTAGCCAGAAGGGCTCCCAAGGTGAATGCAGCCGAGGTCTCTGTCCCCAGCTGAGTGGACTTAAAACTTGTCTTGTTGGTGTTTCATCCACCCGTCATACATGTGTTTGTCCATTTGTCCATCTACCCATCCTGACACCAGACCCCCTGGGTTTGAATTCTGGCACTGTCACGTACTAGTGTATGATCTCAGGCAAGTTCCTTAACTTCTCAGTGCTCCAATTCCTTTTTTTACAAAATAGACATAATAGAAGTACCTATTCTAGGTTATTGTGAAAGTTAAGTGAGTTAATTAGCCTAAAGTGCTTAGACCAGTGCTGGGCAAATAGCAGACTCTACGAGTGTTAGCTTTGTTGGTATTTATCAAGAATTGCACTAAGTCCTGGGGATAATGGCAAATGAGACGGATAACATTTGGTCCATGGAATTTCTGTTTCAGAGGAATAAACATAAGTAAAAAGAAATGTTTCACTTGTGATAGTTACTATGAAAAAAAACGCAGCATGGTTGCATAATGGGTACAGAATTTCCGTTTGGGGTAATGAAAAATTTTGGAAATAGACAGTGGCTATTGTTGCGCAAGGTTGTGAATGTAATTAACATCATGGAATAATTACACTTAAAAATGGTTAAAATGGCAAAAACCAAACCAAACCAAACCCAAAACCCAACATGCTGTCACCAAAAGAAATTAAGGCGAAAGACCCATTTTATTTATTTTTATTTTTTTGAAAGATTTCGTTATTTATTAATTTAGAGCACATGAGCAGGGGGAGGGGCAGAGGGAGAAGGGAGAGAGAATCTCAAGCCGACTCTGTGCTGAGCTTGGAGCCCAACGCAGGGCTCAGTCTAATAACCTGAGCCAAAATCAAGAGTTGGACGCTCAACTGACTGAGCCACCCAGGCGCCCCAGAAGAAAGACCCATTTTAGACGGGGGGGTCAAGGGGTACATGGATTAAGGTCTGAAGGGTGAGAGAGGGGACAAGCCCACTGTCCACATGGAGGGACCATTAGGGCAAAGTCCCATGGCAGGGGTAGGCCTGATGTGGTGGAGGAGCAGATAGAAAGCTAGTCAGGCTCACAGTGATGGTGGGAGCTGATGCCGAGGCCCTAAGCAGGGACCTTTAACTATGGTAAGGAGTTTTTGTTTTATTTTGATGGTAAGTCATTGGAGGTTTTAAGGAGGGCATCCAAGAAAATGGACAGCATAGGGAATGTAGTCGATGGTACTGGAATAGTGTTGTATGGTGACCAATGGTCGCTACACTGGTGGTGCACATAGTGAGGTGTGGACTTGTCCATTCACTATGTTGTGTAATGGAAACTAATGTAGCATTGTGTGTCAACTATACTTGAATTACAAAAAAATAAAGAGAGCATTCAGTTGGAATTTTGGAAAGATCCATGTGGCGTCCAATTGGAGTTTTGGAAAGATCCATGTGGCAGTTCTGAAGAGAATAAACCCTAGGAGGCCCAGGCGGCCACAGAGAATCCACGAAGGAGGCCGGGCAGCCATGTGGGCATGGCTTGATAGTGGCTGGGACCTGGGCAGTGGCTGTGGGGTTGGAGAAAAAGAACAAAGCCAAGGTACTGGATTCAGAGATGCTGATTCATGCTAACCCTGGCTGTAGGGCCTGATGTATAAACCAGCTGATTCATGTTTAATGAGTTGGTGCAACGTCAGGCCAAGTGGATATTGCTTCGCCCGGGTTAGGACATTCTCTTGCAGCAGGCCGCCCAGATGGATAGCCATGGTGCCCCTGGAGTGGGGAGCCAGGGGAGCCAGGTGGTGCTTGCCGTGCTCAGGAGCATCAGATGCCGACAGCCTTCTGGACTGGTCTCAGCCAGACAGGGCTGACAGCGCTGGTGTGGGCACCGTCAGCATTCACTTCTCCAGCTGACCTTTCTCTCTTTGAATCCTGTGCGTTGGGTTTTCATATGGTCATGCCATCAGTCTGGCCTTGCTGGGCTCTGGCTCTTGGCACATCTCCTCCATCCGTTCTGGGCTGGTGCTTCGCAACTCCTGGTTCTCAGACCACTCCCCGCTGCAGCTCCTCGGTACTGTTTGTAATTATAGACCCTCTCAGTGCTGTTTTATTGGGTACATACCATGTTAAGTGCTCCCTCTAGGTTATTTTCCTGACTCTCTACCACCACCCTCAGAAGGAGTGGGGGAGTATCTCCATTTTATAGATGAGGTGAGGCTCAGAGCATTGAAGTCACTTGCCCATGGTCACAGAGTGAGCCACTGGTGGCACTCGGCTTTGGGTCTGGGTCTGACCGACCTAGGTCTGCCCCCCACCCTGCCCTGGTGCCCCTGTGAGGAGTCTATGAGAAGCCGGTGTGTCTAGTCCCTGACCGTGGGCCTGGCCCCCAGCAGCACTGCATGATGGGAGTCTTGCCCTTTCTAGCAGAGTAACACTTGTGACTCTTGCAAGGCAGTCTGCTCCACCCCCAGTTCACTCACTTCTCCCCCTCTCCAACCTGTTCCACCTGCCAGGCTCTTTGGAGCTCATCTTTATAGGCTTCTTGTTCTGAGGTATCAGGATGTCAGGGCCTCCTGTCCATCCTCTGCACGGGCCTACTTGTTCCCGTCTGGCAGGGTGACTCAGTGACTCCATGCCCCCCCACTCCCCACCCTATAAGCCCTTCTTTGGGTACTCTAGGTCGTACTCTGATCACCAACTCTCCAGAACCTTCTAGAGGCTAAAACATACACCAGCATATCTAAATCACATCCTGCCTGGGTGTTTAACCATTTTCTGGGTGAGCATTATCCTCCCATGTTGCAGTGAGCTCCAAGGAACCAGCATGTGTTTCCCCTGGGGCCCCTGCAGCGCCCATCTGGCCAGGCTGCCCAGAGGGCTCCCTCAGTCTTCGCTGACCTGGGTCTGGGCAGAACTGTGCCCACGTGACTGGCTCTGGCAGAACCCAAGGCCAGGTTCTTGGCTTGCTTTCGGTGGCCTGGAGAGAAAACCATACTGTTATCCCTGGACTTGTGAAATCAAGAAGGATCTCATCATAGGTTTAAAATAATAATAATAATGATGATGATCTTATTTTTCTTTTAAATTCATAAAAATTTTTTGGGGTGCCTGGGTGGCCCAGTCAATTAGGCATGCAACTCTTGATTTTGGCTCAGGTCATGATCTCGGGGTCATGAGATTGAGCCCCATGTCAGGCTCTGAGCTTGGCAGTGAGTCTGCTAGAGATTCTCCCTCTCTCTCTGCCCCTCCCCCTGTGCTCGCTCTAGCATGCGCTTGCTCTCTGTCAGTGAATAAATAAATCTTTTAGAAAAATAAATTCATAAACATTTTAAGTTTAATCAGACTTTTATCTCCTCATCCTGTCATACCAAGCCCTGTGCATTGGAAGATTTTATTTTTTAACCTCTCATTTTTTTAAATCAAGAAATCTCCAAGTATAGTAGAAAAATTGAGAACTACAGTTAAACAGAAGAAAAAACAACCTGTACTCATGCCACCTAGAAACGACTACGATTAATACTTTGTTGAATATTCTGTATCCGTGCGTATGTGTTAATCAAAGTAGGGTCAGTCTGTACAAGCTGTTGTGTGTGGAGCTTTTCGTTCAGGTATTTCTTTTATGGCATCTTTTTTAATGCTCTAGAAAGGATGAGCCATCATTTCTGTCACTGGGCCCTGGCCGTGGGGTTCCTTGGCTTGGGCCGCCTCTTTGGCTTCCAGGCTGGACCTGAGTGCTTTCTCCTTCCAGTTGGTTCTGTTCAAGTTTGCTTGAGGCAGCAAAGTGCAGTGGGAAGCAGGACACCCACAGATTAGTCTGTGGATCATTTTTTATTTTTTTAAAGGGAAATTAAGTGGGCATTCATTTTAAGGGTTCTTCTTATAGAACTTCTCTAGTATAATGGCTGATGTCCTCAGGTGCAGGCCTTGAAGAGATGCAGACCCAGGCAGACAGGTCTCCCTTGGATACTACGAGATCGAGAGCTCCCCTGGAGCTGCTTCTGGTGCTTTGTGTCCTGGCCCAGAGTTGGCATCTGGGGTCACGTAAGTGACAGAGAGCCTTTATTTAACTATGGCTTTAAGTCAAACCATAAAGTCCGAGGTAATGACATGAGTGGAAAGCATTTCTGGGGGTGAGGCCGTGTGACCAAGGCCTTCTCTTCTTCCTCGTCTTACTTTTTTTTTTTTTTTTTTTTTTT